AATACTAACTCATCGAGAGCTATATATAGCTTGGAAATTATAAACATAAATAAGTTCGACATGTCTAGTTTGCTTTGGTGAGATTTATAACTAACGTTTGATCAAATTCTGCTTCTTATGAATAGACAATCATGGCGCCACAGCCCAATTCAAATATAACATCCAGGAAATACTATCACCTTATCGCAGATTAGTATTACATGATAAGGACTAGGATGTAATCAACACTAAAACAGCTGTTCTATACATTATACATCTTCAGTTTTAATGACTCAAAATATATCTAATAGAAATAAAGTATAAGAATCACCTCACATCGATTGATATGCAGGAAATAATTTATGATTAAAATACGCGCTCGTGGTGGAATATTCTAGAATGCAATAAGTACAAGACCCATAGGCGTGAATATATTGATATTCGATGCACTACGTACCAATTATAGAAAGCAAATTGGGCGCGGCATACAGCATTCACTGTGTCATAAATGTGGGAACGTGAGATCCTAATTTTACATATTGTATCTTCGATATCTGAAATACTAACTCATCGAGAGCTATATATAGCTTGGAAATTATAAACATAAATAAGTTCGACACGTCTAGTTTGCTTTGGTGAGATTTATAAGTTCTAACGTTTGATCAAATTCTGCTTTCCCGGCCAAATTTGGCTACAAAGAAAGTGTGATAAAACATTAATCACATGCCTTCTCATGCGATATCAACATTTTCAAAACTCGGCAAGCCTCGTGATTGAAAATGTCGATATAACCCTCGGCAAGCCTCGGGAAATATCGAAACTTTCGCTAACTCGGCAAGCCTCGTGGGCGAAAGTTTTGATATCGCATAAGAAGGCATGTGATAAATGTATAATATGTTATATCAAATATTCATCTGACAGGTAGAATATTTGATATATTTATCTAATTTTATGTTATTCTTCTATATGAAATACTTTTATATTAAAGTAAATATTAACCAGTGTACCAAAGGCAAAAGCTGGTGCCCAAACAACAAGTATCAAAGGTTTTTATTTTGAATATGATCATACCCTGTGAAGTTTTACAATTCTGTCTATATAGATGTCAAAAGGTATTCATGGTATTATTTTAGTATTACCTTTTGTAATTTGGATGCATGTTGTCGACGAATCTATTTTGTGACTGTAAACAGCTGACTCCGTGCATTTAGCAGTGGTATTTGATTCTGAATCAAGTCTGTATCCTACATCACAGAATATCGTGACTGAAACTCCTGCGGGGACTTCACCACCCGGACTTAGAAATCCATGTTCCACTGAGAGTGGAGGACAATACACTGAAAGTGAAATTTAAAAATGTTAGAGTATGAGTTTTAAGCACTTGAAGGAATCAAATAATCGGCATGTTTTGACCAGGTATTTGACAAACATTGCAAACTGGAGGTACCAAAAGTGACAAAAAGAACTCCCAAACTTAACCCATGGATTACAGACAGTATCATCCAGTCTGTAGAAAGAAAGCATGAACTGCGTAAGGAGTGGTCTGACACCGTTACTAATAAGAACCCTGGTGGTAATATCTTGCTCTACCAAGTATTTAGTGATTATCGTAGGATGCTTAAAGCTATCATTAAAGCTGCCAAACGTTGGCATTACTGTAACGAAATCCTAAACAACTGTGAAAATAGCAAGAAAACCTGGCAAATTATTAACGAACTCAGGGGCAAAAAGAAGAGGCAAACCAAGCCCCCATTTATCATTGACAACCAAAGAATAGTTGATAGAAGAGCTATTGCTAATGGATTCAATACTTGGTTTGTCTCTATTGCACCAAAGCTGAATGAGACACTGAATAATCTATCTTATGGTCTGCCTATATTACCCATGAAAACTTTCTATGACTTCCTGAACCCAAGAAATGAAAAAATATTAGGCTAGAAGATTGCTCCTTGAACGAAATATTGAAAATCATAAGCGAGTTCGAAAATGGTAAAGCCAGTGACATTCCCATAAGTGTAGTAAAAAAGTCATCTCATGTAATTGCACCTGTATTATCGAATTACTTCAATATCCTTATGACCAAAGGTATATTTCCAGATGTCCTGAAGACTGGTAAAATAACTCCTGTATATAAGAAAGGTAACCCAGAAGAAATCGAGAACTACCGTCCTATCTCCACACTGTCCGTCTTCGGTAAGATCTTTGAAAAGCTCATATATTCTAGAATATACGGATTTGTTAGCTCCCAGGGAGTTATATCGAAGACACAGTTTGGATTTAGGAAATCTCACTCAACATCTCATGCAGTCAATTACTCTGTAAATTTGATTACGAAATCTCTTAAACTTAAGAATCATGTTTTAGGAATATTCATTGACCTAAGCAAAGCTTTTGACACTATCGACCATTCAACACTTCTTATAAAATTAGAGGGATGTGGAGTGAGAGGAGTTGCAAATAACCTCATCAAAAGCTACTTGACAAACAGGCAACAATACACCGAAGTTGTAGGAGAAAAATCAGATACCCTATCTATCCAATTTGGTGTCCCACAGGGTTCAATTCTTGGACCTCTCCTATTTCTTCTTTATATGAACGACATCACAAACAGTTCTAAACTAGGATCATTTGTTACCTTTGCTGATGATACCAATATATTTGTTGTCGGCAAAACAAAACGTGAGGCATATGAACGAGGAAATGAGCTTTTGTCATCATTGAAGTCTTATATGAGAGCGAATAAGTTACATATAAACATGTCCAAGTGCTGCTACATACACTTCAAACCCACCATGGCAGGTTCTAAGTCAGAGACTTTATCACACCCTGAAGTTGCATTAACTATAGACAACTTTCCAATCAAAAAGGTTTCATCCGCAAAATTTCTGGGTGTTATAATTGACGAGAACCTATCATGGGATGATCACATCAAAGCACTTAAGCGAACTCTAAATCATTCCACATCCACTTTATGTAGACTTCGCTGCTCCCTTCCAGAATTTCTACACCAACAATTATATTATACCCTGTTCGAATCACATCTTTCCTACTGTATATCTGTATGGGGTGGGGCAGCGAAACAACGTATAAGCTCATTATTTACTGCTCAGAAGTACTGTCTCAGAGTACTATTTGGTGACAGGCTGGCGTACCTTGATAAGTTCAAGACTTGTGCACGTACTAGGCCCATAGGACACCAGAAACTTGACCAAAATTTTTCATAAAAGAGCACACCAAACCGATATTTAAGCATAATAATATTCTATCTATACAAAATCTCTATACATACCACAGTTACCTCGAGCTCTACAAGATAATGAAATTCCGTGCTCCAATATCCCTACATGAGGGTTACACATGTTCCTCAAGGAAACCCTGTCTTCTAATCTCTCAGGCAGACCCACCTGACAATCACAACACTAGATCAACCAAAATTTTTAACATTTTAACCCCAAAGTTCAGAATGACTGACTTTACTACTAGTGTAATGTGCTTGCGAGGTAAGTTAAAACGTGCGCTATTAGCTAATCAACATAATCACGCCCTGCTTGATTGGACCGTCAAAGATTTTGACTGCACAAATGTTATTGTCCAAACATAACTGGCTGGTCACACACATCTCAATTAAAATTACGCTAGGCCACTGTTTTCCAAGTCTTGTCCTGTGAGTAAAGTATGTGTGAGAAAGTTTTAATAAAATCATTGTATATTTATTTTTGAATTTAAAAAATCTAATTTGAGAATGAAGGTTAAAGAAATTTTTAATTAGCACTGTATAGTTTAAGATATTTATAGCTTATTATAACAATTGATACAAAGGCCATAATCTTTCACCAGCTCTCCAATATCCACCTTGAAGCTGCATTTTATATCCTAAATATAAACTAAATCATGTTTTAGTGTAGACTTTTTGTCACAACAAGACTGCAACCTATAGTAACAATTATAAACAGAACCTCTAATGTCTGCTAACAATTTTTCTTCTAGTCCTAATCTGAGCCTTGTCTCTAAAAACTTAACTGAACTAGCGTTTCGGTGTGTGCAAAAGCTTCCAGGCACGCGCATTCCTTGCCCCGTTAGTTACCTGTCCTTCATAAACCAAACTAGCAGTCAGGACAAAAAGTCATACACCAAATGGGCATTATATTTTATGAATTGTTTTACATCTTTTTATTCTGTAAAAATGTGCTAAAATTAAATTTCTTGTTTCATTGGAAAATTTTTTGTTTCATTGATTGAATAATTGCAAATAATGCAATATAAAGCTATTTGGTGGACGTGAAAATTGAAATGTATATATTATGCTACGAAATATTGTATTTAGTAACAACCCCAACCTCCCCAGTCCCTGAACAATATTCAGATCAAATTTATGGGAGAAGTTCTCCCATAAATTTGATCTGAATTATAATTCGGGGAAACGCAATTATAATTCTCAAAACAGAACTGTACCTTTTGTGCAAATATTGCAGCTTCTTTTACAGTTCTCTTTCATGTACAGAATGTAATCTCCTGTTGGATGATTTATAGTTATCGCATTGGATATAATTTTGAATCATGTGTAAAATGTGTTCCTGTTCCTCCTTGTATTACTACTTAACTTAACACATTTGGATAATTCCAACAGATTCCCCGAAGAGATATAACCTGAATACAATCAATGTCTTTTTTATTGTGTTTTCTCAGTGTAAAATGGGAAATTATACAAACCTGTGTCACAATGCCCCAAAGAAGCCCATTGAATGCAATCAGCAGCATCGTCGTGACACTCACTTTCAACTGAAACAAAAAAATATTAATTCATATCTTTATTTCAAAATTTGACTGCACTTAGGATCAAAAGAAGAAAAAAGAAAAAACAATTTTTTGTGAACAACCCCTAAGTGAAGTAACTGCACCCACACGCAACCTTTAAAATTTCGGAGCTGAGAGTATAGACACACGCCACACATGATTTCAGCTATAATATTATGATTATTTATGATTTAGCTTTAAGATCAAAATGCTTACCACTGCATGTAGGTATATCACAATACTCCCATCGAGGCACAGTTCCCTCAGCATTATAACACCAGGCGCCTGATTCACTGAGGAAAATGATGACACATGTTATAATGAATAATTTATTATGGAACAATGATTATGGAACACTGCCAGATACCAGATATCAGATATTGAAGACTTACCCGTCTGGATTTCTGCAATAGTTCTCTTGCAGTCCTGAATCAGAGTATCTGAAAATGTTTTTGTAATAAGCTATTGTCCTAAAGTAGGTAGTTTTGTGAATCGTAACTAACAATTTGGATTCTTCCGAGAGCCCTTTTAGAAACATTTCGAAGAATAAATCTAAATCTGGATTATGCCGTATTGTTGCCGCCTGTGGGTGAGACTAGCTTATACCTGTTGTGCCTTAGAAGCACCAAGAAAACTTACCTCTCAGCAGTTCTGCTGTGTTTATTAGGTGATTGAGAGTCCCATCTCTGGCAGACGTGTCCTGATACTGTGACAGATACAGTTCCCCTGTAGTCTGATCCATCCGCTTTACCAACACACTCGTCTGGAGCTGGAGTTAACCCATTTGTTAATCTTTTTAGAAACGTTAATAATGAATAAAAGTACCCAACGCGAGCTGACTACTCAGAATGCGCGAGCACGTCAACATAAAATTTTTCGCGCCCTACAAACTTCGGTAGACCTTATAATTTGCAACTGAACGCTTGCGTATGTCGTAGTTCAAGCTGCGCGCGCGGTATGAGTATTTTCATTGCATCATACAACATAAATTATCGGATTATAAGTAGAAGCTATTTGTACAGGGATTTTCTCATCGATACTTTAAATGACTAATCTTTAAAAAACAAGGTCGATTCTTATACAATTACAATATATTTTGCATATGCGCGTTAAATCAATTCGTTATCATGTAATAATGTGTGTCATACTTAAAGCTAGGAATATTTGTGTAATATGGATTTTCATTCTAAAACATGGAAAGATTTCATCAATTAATGTAACTTGGTACCATATGGTTTATTTGATCTTATATGTTATCGATTTATATAGTTTTACGTTATCGTGTATCATATATTGATAGTTATACATTATTATTATACAATTACAACGAGTCCAACCCAGCGCGCGTTTTGGTAGTTTATAAACCTACAAATAATTTTATCCCCTGATAAACTCCAAGATATTATACATCAACGGATTATAATCTCATTGTATAGTCACATAACATGATACCATGACCTAAATTTTGACAAATGGCTAAGCTCTTGACAAAAATTATAACCTGTAAAAGTCATAAAAATGATAACTTCACATAATCGGGTGGAAATCATGCTTTTTAAAATTTTTCACGAAAGTTTTTAACAGCATATTGTTTATCACATTTTTTTACACAATATTTGAATCATGTTGTAATTTTGTTTTCCAATATTTTGATCAAAAATAATTTTTATTTGGATTTCAAAGTACGCACTACGCCGCGCAGTTAGAAATCGTAATTGTTCTGAACAAGTGAGATTTGAGATTTAATCATTATTTTCACAAGTGAGTCGATATATTGATATCCTATCTGTTTTCGTTGCTGCTCACAGCATAGAGCTTCAATGCTCAAACCGTATATCTAGTTGATAGTAAAGTAGTATAGAAGTAGTAAAGTAGTATAGAAGCTGTTTCGTTGCACATTGAAATACAGATATTACTAAATGATCTTGAGAGGTTATTTAATGTAATCGATTTAGTGTTACTGCCTTTAAGCTGTGATGTGCTGGAGACTACTAAAACTTGTTCTAGTATAGAAAAGCACAGCGGATTTTGCTATCATGTTACACTTTTGTAGATCAGGATCGAATTTGAACGTATTACTCCTAAACAGATTATTTCAATCCTGCATTATATGGAAATATCGATAACCCATTCGAGCCTTTTTTTAAATGTGTTTATGTTTTTGAAAAAGTATATTATTGTGATACTTCCATGTATTAAATTGTTTAAATGGTATGGTAAAGAACAGTACACAGATACTTATTCTTTGATGCCCCGAAACACATTCCTAGCTCTAGATCTGCCTTACATTTCAATAATGGCTCTTTCATCACATTTGCTTGATAACTGCTGATTTGTAATGCTTAAAATTGATCCCACTCAGTTTGACTATCTTAGGTTAGCTGTAATATCGAACTCGACAGTAGCTTCCTCTGTCATGTCGGAGATCTCAGGAGACGACTTGGTATTTTGTGTCAAGAAGAGGTTAACCTCCCACTTAACAAGATAAACATCAAATTCATAGGTTTGTCTCTATTTTGATGGTTACTGATACAGCAGTTCATGTGTTTAGAATGCATGGGTTAAATTCTAATTAAATTCGGTAATAAATATTACTGCAAATGTTGTAAACGGTAAAACCATTGTGTATAAGACAGTCAATTATCTCAGGAGTGCCAAAAAGGTACCGTTTAAACGAGAGGACTTCACTGATGACAGAGATGTGGAAAAGACTACGTCCTTCTCTGGAAAACTACAAGGATAAAATACCCACCTTCTTCGGGAAAAAGTCCATCATATGCGAAAGGTAAATCGTTTATTTTTGAAAACCCGATCACGATCAAAGCATATACAATTTGGGCATGTCCCAGCCAACTTAAGCCGAAAATCTGGCTTTGAAATCTTTAATTTGAAAACACCCAAAAATGTAGTTAATATACCCCTCCACCATACCAGATCGATTTTAAGTCAACCAAGGCATAATTACTGCCCAAAAAGCCTGTTCCAAATTTGTCTCAATTCTGTTCCAGAATCCCAACTTCTCTGAAACCAAAATGGAACATTGCCCACAAAGCCTTTTCTGAGGATGCTAGGGCCACCAAACTTTTCAAGGACACTCCTGGTATCGATACCAATCGATTCTGATCGCCTTCAACTCAGTTTAGGCGATTTTAGGGTAAAGTTCATTTTTGTTCATTTCATGAACCAGGGGATCATTTTGCACTAAAAAGGTTTTTTTAAAGTTGAACAAAAAATGTCACAATTTGATGTGTGAAAATAGTGCTTTCGATGTGAAACTGGATGATTCTTGACGCACCCTATCCCTTCGGTGGAGTATTAAATTTCAAAGAAAAAAACTTCTGAGTTGCTGAACATGTTAGTAAACAATATGCTACCATACCATATCGATTCCATGCCAGTCCAGGCATGATTACCGCTAAAAAGCATGTTTCTAAATTTGTGTCAATTGTTTCCACCATCTCAACTACTCTGAAACCAAAATAGAAACATTGCCCCAGAGCCCTTTTTGAACATGCTAGGCACACCAAACTTCTCAGGGACACTCCTGGTATCAATACCGACCGATTCCAATTGGTTTTAGCCCAATTCAGGGGATTCTAGGAAAATGTTCATTTTGTGTTCATTTCATTCATTCCATGAACCAGGGGAGTATTTTGCAAGTCTAAGTGGCTGGAAATGTTAGTACATGTGTCCTTCTACCATACCAGATAGATTCCAAGTGGACACGTTCAAAAAAAGGTGGCACTAGAGATTGATTTTTTTTAAATGAGTTTTAAAAATGGTCATTGCTCTTTGTTGGTTGATATATCTATCTATACCTTTAGAAATTCGATTAAATTTCATGATCCTGAAATCACGGAGTCTGTAGTGCTTATATCACAGGAGTTATCGTTATTTGTGTGCCAATGATTCAAAAATCACACAATTAGAAATGCAAGATGAATCAACACTAGATAATCTGAAAAGTACTATTCACAAAGACGCCAAAATTGATATGGTGACTATAATGCATGTAAGGAATAAAATGTCTTATCTGAAATTGTTATTGGTGCCAAAATGATTCAAAAATCACAACTTAAACATTGGAAATGAGCCTATTTTGAGCAATGATTATTGAATCATCTTACGTTTTTATTGGCTTTCTATCATTTGTTAGGGTACAAAATAGTATTAAATAGTATTAAAACCAGTTAATATGATTCAAAAATCACATTTTCGTTATTGGTGCGCTATTAAGTCTCACTATAGTAAGCCTTAAATTAAGTGCACAATATGACAACATATATCCATTCTATGGTTCTTATTATGTGATTTTTGAATCCATGTCTAAGCTTATACCATATTGAAGGCCTTTGAGCGATAATTTTTGATCTGGGTGGTTAAATGATTCAAAAATCACACAAATCTGGCTACCAACTATGTAATTTTCTTTAAAGTATGACAATTGAATCATATGTAATGTTCAAGTTGTAATGACATTTTGAAAAGAAAGGTAATGAATCGATTATCACATTTCAAAAATTCAATTAGGTATTATACGTAACTGATTGATTCATTTGTCACAGTATGGAGACAAAATTATCATGGCTTGAGTAGTAAAAGTACTTGCCTAGTTTAATCAGTTTAAAATCAGTGTTTTGTGATTATTGATTCCACTATTACTCTAATAACGAACTTCTCCATGGCCATAAACAAGTGCAGTGTCACAACAAATTACTGCAGATTTACTATGAATACCAACCTGATATAGAGCCAAAAAGTGATGTTGTTGTTGTGAAACCAGTATTTCTGGTACCCATAGGGGATTTGAAATCAACTTATAAATCAAATGTCATTCCTCAAAGTATCATAATCAAACCCCGGGCGAGTCCAAAATTAGAAACCTGAGTATTGATTCATATGAAATATGAATATCTCTTAAACGATAAAATTTCCTGAACCAGATCTGACTCGCTATGTCTGTTCAGACATGTTTGTCTGCCAGATCGTGGTACCTGAGTCCCTTCATTGCCGTGCATTGAAATCACACAATAACACACAAAGCTAGAATCACGGCAAATCGACATTCATCGCTTTTTCATCGGAGTACTAATGGACAGTGTTCAAATGGACAGTGTACATTCCCCTGATACAGCATAATTTCAATACATGCTCATTTATGTGATTTTTGACTCATTATGGCACTTTTAACCATCTAAATTCTCTAAATATTAGTTAGCATGATATAATTGACATTGATAGAGTTCATTGTTACAATCATTCCGTTGATATTCATATCACATTCATCATTCTAAAATACTTAGTCAGAATTAACCCTGTATGTGATAATTGCATCGTAACTCCACATTTAACCGGTGATTCTTTGCACTTTTAACACTCAGCTATCTCAAAAAGGTTCAATAATCACATTGAGAAGCAGGACACACTCACAGAATGTAAATTCATGATTAGAGGTGCAAGAAATGAATATTTTGTGATTTCTGGCTCATATCTGCACAATTAACAGATATAAAGAGATGAATGACTTTATTATGTGACATTTGAATCTTTTTGGACCACATTAAAATTTGGTTAACTTTCATAGCATACTCCTTGAGATACAAGTATTTTAAAATGCTTCACACAATTTTGGCAGTGAAAAATCAATCTCTAGTGCCACCTTTTTATGAACATGTCCATATTTCAATCAATGTCCAAGTCAGTACTAGCATAAATACGGCTGCAAAAGCCTTGTCTCACTTTTGTCTCAAATGTTTCCACCATCTCAACTACTCTGAAACCAAAATGGAAACATTGCCCCAGAGCCCTTTCTGAACATGCTAGGCACACCAAACTTCTCAGGGACACTCCTGGTATCAATACCGATCGATTCCAATCGGTTTTAGTTTAATTCAGGCGAGTGAAAAGAAAATGTTCATTTTATGTTCATTTCATTCATTCCATGAATCAGGGAATATTTCCCAGGAGGCTGAAAATGTTAGTACACATGCCCCTCTATCATACCAGGGCAAATCCCACTTCAGTTCACGGACATATACAGCCGGAAAACATGTATCAGAAGTTGTCTCAAATGTTTCCACGAACTCGGATTCATCTTCTGTGGCGGCTGGCGCGAATTCGATTTTCGGTAAAAACCACATCAGTTTTCAAATTTGAGATATTTTTAGCGCGCGGCGCGCGCACTGCGTGTTAAATTTTAAATTTACGCCAGCTAGCAGGTGTCAGATTTACTGGTTATAATTATGGGAAGTCCATCTATGTTTATTATTAATAATTTTTGGTTGACTATTTATTTTCCCCAGGAAACTTACTCACGTGCGAAAGACGAACTCTAAGAATTGGAGAATAACGGCAGTAGACAGCAGCTAACTTCCCCTGTACTCAACGACATTGAACAATAGACATGAAATGACTCGCTGACCCCATACAAAGTACTTGTGCTCGGAGGCAGAATTTGGCATCGTTTGGGTCGAGAGATTTCCAAGGGTAATGATACAGTTAAACTGTATAAAAATACCTCTCTAAAACAACCTTCTCCTGGTCGGCCATGTCCCTCATCCTGCACTTGACCCCTGCAGAGGTCACAAGAACATCGGAGCACAAATGAGCGAGAAACGGGGAAGCCTTAGCTTCCGGGTCAAGGACTGCATCACTAGCACCTACCTATTGAACCTATTGATAGGTTTAAAAGTAGGCATCTTCACGCAATCTGCGGACCACCTCCTAGCAGCGAAATACGGATATACCCTCCCTATTACATGCGTTCAACCGGCACCCGAACCACACGCTGTTTCTTAGACACAACTTCCCACTTAAATCAGTGTCCTGTCGCATCAACTGGCATCAGCAAGTGGCGACACTGTGTAGACTCAACCCTGAGCTTGATCAGAATCTTCAGTCACAAACCTGACACCGTTTCGGGGCTTGCAATACGGTTTTCTGTCAGGCTCCCAGCAGTTTCTTTTGGACCACTATCTCATCTGACAATCACCCGAGGATACCTGCCAGAGCTCGCAATTTACGACGAGTTAGCTTATGGCACCTCTGGCTGTTAAGTGAAGTCATAAAGCTCAAACAGCTCTCATCTCCCATTCTCTCTTCCTAGACAGCAGACCTGGGAGAAACTCCTTCTAGCCGGACGTCACGCGTGATGTACGAGAAACTACGGACAGGTGTGTACCTATACTTTTTAAAATTACACATTTCGTCTGGATTGTGATTCACTGCAAAACAAGTCGCAGGTTCCAATTGTAGAACTATAAAATTTTAATAATTCATGGTTGATTATACGGCCTAAGCGGTATACAAATAAAGCGTTATTATTATTATTGCCTCTAATCCTCAGGGTACTCCTACTTGCGTGCGAAAGACAAAGGCAGCAAGAATCGAAGAACAGAACCCCGACCACACTGCTTGTGAGAAATGAGCAGCTCTTGATCTAGGACAAAAAACTTTCTTCTGTTTAATATCTAAAACGTGTTACGTGTGATATTACACCAACTTTTGATTAATAATACGAAACTTTATACCTTATAAAGTATGATATTTAAACACGAAAATTTACATTCTGAAATTGGTATAGTGTTCCTTTAACTGTTCCTTCAACTTTCATCGTAGCTTTTTTCAAAATATTCTTCAGTGCCATCAACAAACAGATTTTTTCATTTGACTGAACTGTGCCATATTTGATATTGCCTCTGTATTTTATAGGGAAAATTTTTTAAATCTTGCAAGTTGATGTAATTAAGTTTTAAGTTAACGTATTATAGATATGTTAACACTAGTTTATGTTTCAGTATTTAAATTGTTTCCATTTATAGTTTAACCGCTCCCTGTTGTAGAGTTATCAGATCTTTACTTAGGATAAACAATATAATATGAAATTCGATAATAATATTAATAAACATTAATTGTATTCACTGTTTTCTAGTCATCAAACTTCAGATCAGAAGGTGACCGGGACATGATTTTAGGCCTGACCGGGACCGGGACCGGGATAAAAAATGTGACTTGACCGGGACCGGGACTGAGATTATCAATTTACCGGGACCGGGACCAATAATTTCTGGGATTTCTATCTTACCGGGACTAGGACCGGGACCAACAATACAATTTTTTCGGGATGACCGGGATTTTACCGGGATGACCGGGACCAAAACTGGTATTCTCATATTGAAAGCTGCAACTTTCATTTACATTATAATTGAACAATTTGAATAAGTAATAACTAGAATATTAAATTAGAAAAAAATAGAAAAAACCCGTCAATATGGGGCATGGGCCTAATGTACTACACCAATAATGTTCATGTACTGATTACTCAAGTTCACCCTCATTCCTCAGTCAATGATCCCTCATTATTCAACAGTTTCATTCTCCAATTGACAATTGGGCGTAGCCCGAGTTGAAAACTTGATGTTAGTTTGCACTTATGAGTTATGTAACGATATTAGTTACCTAAACTTGTTTAGCAATTTTAAACATTGTTTTATTTGGCTCAGAGGTTGTTTTAAGATGAAATTCACAATGAATGAAAGTAAAAACTTAAAATCACAGTGAATGAAATTATGTAAAAGATCCCGGCAAATTTGATTTTGAGTGATTGACCGGGACCGGGACCAAGAATCCTGAATTGACCGGGATCATAAATCAGCATTTGACCGCGACCGGGATGAAAAATGTGACTTGACCCGGTTGACCGGGACCGGGATAACTCAAAATTGCCAATCCCGGTCACCTCCTGCTTCAGATCGGGGTAATATATTTATAATGTACAAAATGATACGCTCTCGAATGCACGCTTCCTTTTCCTCACCTTCGCATCTTTGATCTTGTTAAGTAAAACACATAGTAAGGTTCCCCAGAAATGTCCTGTAAACTTGACTTTTTATTTAGGCCGGTAAAAACCCACAACTGACTGAGGTTTCGAAATACAGCCAAGAACTCAGATATGACACAATCAATTTTATGTGTATGAAACAAATTTTCAACTGTCTGGCGGCGATCAGCATGTCATACTGACTAAACTCTAATCGGTTTATGAAAATTACATCCCGGTTAATGAAAAGCGTAGCCTGGAGTTCCCGCTCCCAGGTAAAATACATACATAAATGAGGACCGCCAAGCAAGGAATGAAGAACGAAATTAAATATTATCTAATCGATTACAAATCTTGCAGATTCCTGAAATTAAATGTAAAATGCAGCTAAACTCGTGCATCTAATAATAATATGACAATATGATAGAATTGTAATAATGCTACATGCTACGCGCGCTAAAACGATGAATCTAATTTAAATCTAGTAACCATATCAACGCGCAGTAACCATAGTAACGCGCTCGATTCAATTCCAGTATATTGCGACGAGTGTTTACATCACTAAATTAGCTGTAACTTTGTGTGATTATGGACGATCGTGCTAAATTTAAGGCGCTGTGGCTAAAATCGTCCACTGAACCAACAGGTAAAATTTCAGAGAGATCGTCCCCAGCGCTCATTTTCACCTCGCGAATGATCAGCTCGCAGTGGGTAGTTTCTTGATAAACGATGGCTTGATAGTGAGGTAAATTGGGGTTTACGGTAAATCTGCGTTTGCGGTAAATTGGAGCGCAGTAAATCTGCATTTGCGGTAAATTGGAACGAAGTAAATCGGAATTTATAAACAAGGCCAGGGCGAGGTTAATCGGACATCTGTGAATCGGAGCGCGCGGAGAATGTCGTATATGATCTACAAAGGCTGTAAGACCTCTGGAGTCGATGCAAACATTTTCAGACCTCTAGTTCATTAAAGGACTAGGAGGGCGTGGCAGCCTCATGATGATTAAAAAACATATTTTCCAATATCTGGCATTCTGGCTCATTATTGTTTATACGAAGTGGAAAACATACGATGTCAAGTTTAGAAACAATCACTAAGGTATTCTACTCTAAACTTAAGTTTTAATAATATGCAAAAATATTTTAACTTTATTATCATCACTCGATGGACGATGACGTCATCAAGTTAAGCGTTTTTAAAGCTTGATTGAGTATTCTTTCCTGTCGGGTCATCCTTTGGGATGTGGAGCTAAGTCTGGTTTGTATACTTAGGGGTTTCTCACATATTACGAAATAAATATTTTGGCAATTTTTAACCCCCTCCCCTCCTCAATAATCAACCGTAATCAAGACCCAACCCCCCCCCCCTCCTGACAGAAATATTACGTAATCATTGCCTGACCCCCCCCCCCCCCCCCCCCCTTTTTGCCTTTTTTCTCATTTTTCCCTGGAAACACTTTTTAGTACGTTTGATGCTACCCTGATCATAATCAGGCGAAATTATTGTTATGATATCCGGCCAAACACCTTTCAAACTACTTAAGTTATCTTAAACAATAATCTCAGAATGTGTGTGTGTGTGTGTGTGTGTGTGTGTGTGTGTGTGTGTGTGTGTGTGTGTGTGTGTGTGTGTGTGTGTGTGTGTGTGTGTTCTGTCTGTGTGTCTGCGTGTAATTTCCGAGCGGCTTCATCAAGAAAACGGTAAAAGTTACGGGGCTGGTTTTTTCGGTATAGTGCCGACAAAACTACGAGGAAGTCAAATGGTAGAGGGTTTTTAAATCGGTCGGTGGTAAGTGGTTTGATTGATGGTTTTTGTACCACAAATGTTACATAAAATGGCTTGAGCAGCTTAATCAAGAAATCGGTAAGAGTTACAGGGCTTGCTCTCTTTCCCATTACTGCATAATATTATGTATCGTTGGTACATATATCATTATTACACTGTCATGGATACTTTAAACTTTTAAACTTATTTATAGGGGAGTGAGCGCCTATAGCGGTCTGTTTGAACTGTAGAGATAGTTCATACTTTCATACGACAATGTAATGCATGTTTTCAAATATGCGGGTGTGGTGCGGAGTTAATAAAGTTTAAGATACTATTGGATACGTGAGGGCACTCCGAATAGAATTGTTCAGATAATGCGGGTTTTGACTCAGTAGGTAAATTTAAATACTCCTACCCTTTTTAACTGCGGCAGTGAAATCCTGGCCGAAGGCCGGGTTACACTAGTAGTAGTTATATACCTTATCGGACCTTATTTGGACGGACATTACTTGAACGGACATAATTATGAACGGACATTAATATGAACGCTAGAAGGCAATCAAAACCATCAAAAATCCGAATTTTTTTCATCTTTTTTAAAACTTTTTTAAAATTTTAGCAAATAATTTTCAAACCCATTTTTCATACAGTAAGCAAAAAAAGCAGTTTTTAATCAGTAAACATGTTAAAATATGTGTACATGATTATTGTCTTATATCACATATCATCTTCATCAAATGGGTTTTCGTGCATTAAATATTCCATGCTTAAAGCATCAGTAATACCCGCTTTTTGGAAACCTTTTTTTTAATCAAACTACCTCGGTCCTACATTTCAGTGTAAACTTTTATAACTATAAGTATAAGCAATTCGGCGTGAAGTGGTTTTATTTAAGACAACTTTAGGTTAACCTTAACATCACGTGGAGCTTTCAATTTCCCAACACTTATCTGTTTCATTACCTCCCCTGAGTAATATGAACTATAACAACGTCGGACAATGTTCTTGGCAACACGATTTAACGTAATATCTAGAGGCTGAAATGTGAAACAAGTGTGTGATGTTGGCGGGGACTAGCTCATGAACTATGTTGTTGAGTGCCATAATTTCGTTGAATTTTTCCGTCCCTTGAAGTGATCCTTGAAAACATCATATACTAGAAAAGTTTTCTGTGCCTCCGGCAGACCAAGGAGAACTTTTCGTCGTTAACATACGGCACTATATGATGTTCTCGATAAAACGTATTGTTGTAGATTCATTTGCCCAATGTTTTTCGTTAAAAATAACCTCAAAGTCTTTCGGAAAGAAATGTAGATCAAGATATTGATAATGCCATAATGTGACATTTACAATTTAGATCGTTAAAATTTTACAATAACTAGTTTTCATTGATTCAACGATATAGTTTAGTTTAATGATACTGATAGCTATTGAAATTGACTGAAATTAAAAGTTGTCATATTCTGGACAAAAAGTTCGAAATGGAAACATTTTCGAAAAAAATTCAACGGACTTTAACTTGGACGGACATTAAATGAACGGACTTTATTTGAACGGACATTAAGATGAACGCTAGGGCCTCCAGCGTTCAAGTAATGTCCGTCCAAATAAGGTTCGATAAGGTAGTCGGATATCTGATCAATTTCTAAATTTTATCACTATCACTATCAGAGTGAAATTGAGTGGAAATTGAATTAAAATATTGTCAAATTGTTATTATTGTAGAAGGTAAAAAAGAACATTTTGATAACTTAATCAACGACCAAATGATATCCAATAAGGTATATTCAATCATAATCGAAGCTGTTCTTATTAATTGATAAATTTTAGTATCAGTATCAATTATGCATAGTCCATACCTTTTATTTGTTCAGCATCAGCAGGTCCGATTAACGTCACGAAAACCAAAGCCATCAACACAAGCCTTGGATACATCATGATTCTAAAAAAAAGTAAAATTACTTAATCAAGATAAAATAACACAGTTTTATGTTAACACTAAAAGTAAATTACTACACCGTGGTTACAGGCACGTATCAAGGAGGATTTCTAGGGATTCGTGAACCCCCATTTGATTTATTAAGCTGCAAACTATTAAATAGTATAAAGGTTTAAACAAGGACATAATTATATTTTCTGAGTGCTGACTTACCTACGTCAAACTAGTAATTATAAACTCACAAAAGAAGAAAAGACGAACGACCGATTCAAT